CGACGAGACGTTCGTGCTGGTGGGCAGCTACGTCACGCTGAGGATCTTCATCAGCATCGTCACCGTCCTCAACCTCAACCTGATACAGATCGACATGAAGAACGCCTTCCTGCAGAGCAAGCTCGACCGGGTGCTCTACATGTCCCAGCCGGACTACTTCAACGACGGAACCCGCCGGGTCTGCAAGCTGCTGAAGAGCCTGTACAGGCTGAAGCAGTCGCCGCTGCTGTGGTACTTGGCGCTCAACGATGTGCTGGTCGACGCCAGGTGGAAGAAGAGCCAGGTCGACGAGGCTCTGTACTTCAAGGTCGGCGACGAAGGAGTGGCCTGCTGGGTGCTGGTCTACGTCGACGACCTGCTCGCCGCCAGCACCAGCACTGAGATGCTGAAGGAGCTGCTTGAGTCCGCCTTCAATCAGCGTGAGATCTTGCTGGTGCAGAAGTACCTCGGGCTGGAGATAATCCGTGACAGATCGGCGGGGAAGCTGTGGCTGCACCAGCAGGGCTACGCCGACAAGCTGCGTAGGCGCTTCATCGACAAAGAGCAGACGGGGCGCACCCCGAAGACACCGGTCTCGGTCGACGCCTATGCTGAGCTCACCTTCGACGACGAGGAGGCACTGGAGTGACAGGAGGAGGATTAAGCTGGGGAGCGGCCTCACGGTGAGGAGCGACCAGCACTGGCACGAGGTCGACCGCTGCCTCGCCTACCTCGCCAACACGCGAGACACTGCCCTGGAGTTCGGCGGTGGACCTGAGTCACTGGAGCTGGTCGGCTACGTGGACGCTGACGACGCCGGTGACAAGCAAAACAGGATGAGCACGGGTGGCTACGTGTTCGTCTACGCAGGGGCCGCAGTCTCCTGGTTGAGCCAGCGCATCAAGTGCGCGACGTTGTCGTCGACCGAATCGTAGTACGTGGCGGCCACCAAAGCCGGCAAGGAGGGACGCCGTCTTCGTTTCTTCCTCGCAGAGTTCCAGCAGCTGGATGCCAGGAAGCCGACCGTCCTCCGGGTGGACAACAAGTTGGCCATCACAGTCGCCGAAGGCATGGGGTTGACGGGCAACCTCAAGCATATGGAGCGGCGACAGGCCTGGCTGCAACACATGGTGAGGTGATGGAAGTTCTCCCTGAGGTACGTGCCGACCACCAAGCAGCCGGCCGACTTCCTGACGAAGGTGCTGCACTATCCGGCCTTCAACCGGTGCTCCGTCGCCATCGACTAGGTGCGCTTGGCCGACGTGGGCGACGAAGATGATGACGTGCAGCAGTAGGTGCCATGCCCTCTTGCATGGCTGGTGCGGTGGACAACTAGCTGTGTGTTGGGTGCACGTCGACGAGCTATTCTCCGATGAATACTGCCGTGTGGGCTGGAGGGCCCAAGCGTGAACGTGGCAGGGGAGTGTCAACGAGAGTTGTGTGTTGGCCCCGTCCCCCCTTGGGCGGAGCCGACTTCGTGGTCGGGTGTGAGGGAAGCAGCCGACCTGCAGCAGTGGGCGAGCTGGTTGACAACAAGGTCTACCTACACGGGGGTCACTGCTCGGACGACGACTTCAGGGTGGCGCCGACTTCAGGGTGGCGCCGACTTCAGGGAGGTCGACCTGGGAAGTCGACCTGCGGAGGGTGTCGACTCGGTGACGCCAAATTGGGGCAGCTGACTTGGGTGGTCGGCTCACAAGAGTGCTGGTCGACCTGGTGGTTGGTCGACCAGGCCTGCTGGTCGACTTGGTGGTTGGTCGACCAGGCGTGATGTCGACCTGGTGGTCGACGGCGGAGGGGCCGATGTCGACCTCGACTCAGGACGCCGAGCAGCTGGGCGTCGAGTAGCAGGGCGTCAACTTGGTGACGCTGACTTCGGGTGGTCGGCTGACAACTGCGCTGGTCGACATGGAGCTGGTCGACCAGGAGTGCTGGTTGACGTGGAGCTGGTCGACCAGGAGTGACGTCGACCTGGAGCTGGTCGACCAGGGGCGTGGTCAACCTGGTGAGGTCGACTTGGGGTGGTCGTCGACTTGGGAGGTTGACGAGCACATACAAGAGCAGCTGGTCGACGTGGTTGCCCAGTCGACCATGTTACCTGGGTGGCGAGGTTCTGCAGAGGAGTGCGACGGTCGCCCAGGGAAAGTTGGCGAGTCCGACCTCGGTGGTGGTATCCCGAGGTCGACGTGGCTGATCAGATGCAGTCGTCAGTGCCAGGTTGACTTGGTGTGTGCGCTGTGCAGGTGACAAGGCTCAGCACGCCAATCATCTGCAAGCACCTGTGAAGCTGGTGCGCTGCTGTTCTGCGGGAGCAACGCTGGCACGCCGTCAACCTGCAGCGTTGGCACGCCGTCGACTTTGCACTGCTGGAGCGCGGTCGACCAAGTCGTGCTGGAACGCGGTCGACCATGCTGCACTGGCAGTCGACCGACCTGAATGCTAGATCTGATGTAGTCTTGCCATGCCAACTTCTTGGTACCATTGTTGTCGACTTTCTCAAGTGAAACTCTTGCTAACTTGCCCCGTGAACTAGCAAGCATTGTGTGCACTACAAAAACGACTAAGGACCAACGAACGCAGAGATCACACGAGCACCCGTGCCTAGCCCATAGTCTAGCTCCCGTTGTAGTAGTTATCTCCGCAGACCCCACCTCGGAGGCACCAGCAGCCTACATCGCATCTGTCACGGCAGCCCAACACCTGCTACGGCAGATGAACCTGCCCGAGGGGTACCTCCTAAGTTGGGCGGTCATGCTACTGGACCACTCCTGGAGTCCCGCCCCACCTGGCGTCAATCAGCTGGCCCCACTGGAAGAAGCTCTACCAGCAGCTGCGAGAACCACATTACAGGCAAGTGGCCGGCAGGACATGGTAACCTACAGCTCGTCCTGTTTCGACACATCAACGAGAGAAGAGCCACGGAGCTACTGGCAGACACGATCACAGACCGCCCTGGCCAACACCGTGGGCATGTGATACGCCTCATCAGTCTGCAAGGCGTGGGAGCGGGGGACTGGCTTCATGCCGTGCCTTCGAGAGCTGACCTTAAATTTGCCCCTAGTCAGTTCTCCTTGGCGCTGGGGTTCCGCATGGGCATATCCCTACCGGTCACTGTGAAGTGTCTCTGCAAGAGAGAGCATTCGGACATCAACGACACAAGTCTGCCGAACCATCTCCTAGGTGCGGGTACGAGGGCGACGTTGTTAGAACGCACAACGCACTGGTGTTTGCGGCCCTCAGAATGGCAAGGGAAGCGGACTTCACGTGCTTCGATGAGACATAAGCCTTTTCCCCACCGATCCTCAGGAGGAGAGGGGGCATGGCGATTGGAGACAAGGAGTCAAACGAGACCTGGGTTACAGACGTGACGGTGACTGACCCCATGCTCCAGCAGCGTGACACCAGGGCACGGAAACCGCCAGGATGGGCGGCTGAGGAGGCTTCGGCCAGGAAGCACAGAGAATATGAGGGTCGGCCGGACAATGTTGGTTTCTTTGGCCTTGCAGTTGAGACGTATGGGGCTCTGTCCATCGACACGCAGGAGTTCCTATGACTCGTGACCACCTCAGCAGCCAAGAAGAAGTACCGCCAAGGGAAGTTGACCACGACGACTGTGCGACTCACCGCACACTACCGGCAGCGCTGGTCTGAAATGCTGCAGCGCTCCCAGGTGACGTCCTACCTTAACAAGTCAAACTTCTCAGACGAGGCTGCGTTCCCCCAGGCGGCTAGGGGCCCTTGGGAACCTAGCCTAGGGGACCTCTGGCAAGTGCTGGAGGATGAGTTGGAGGAGGTGATGGCTCAGTAGGTAGGAAAAGGTAAAGGCTAGTTGTGTAGCCATGGCTCAGCTGCCGCATGATTGGCCTAAATAGCCTGCCTGCCAGGACTGCTAGCCGTACTCGGCCTTGCCCTGCAGTGCCCTGTTTTGCCGGATTTCCTTGTTTGCTTGCCCTGCTTCACCTGACCGCCTTGTCTGTGTGCAGATGGCCTGCTTGCTTTACGGTCCTGTCTCGCATGTTTAGTTGCTCCAATACCTAGGCCTGTCTAGCACCTACTCTTGCCTTGCCTATATCCCTATGAACCTATCAATGAAGGACTGCTTGAGAGAGATGGGCTTGGTATAGTACGCCACTGCCTGTACCCTCCTATACATCAGTGAAGGACCGCTTGAGAGAGAGAGCCATGGCATAGTCTTAGTCCTTAGCCATTTCTAGTCCTCTCTACTCTAGGATCTATTCCTTAGCCATTCCTAGGCCAATTTCCTTAATATAAAGGCCCTGGATCTAGTCTAGGGAGCTCATTATTCACTGGTGAGTTAGGTTCACTCTCCAAGTCCGGCGGCTCGCGCCGCCCGCCTTCGGAAGCCAACGCTCGCCAGCGCGGCCTTCGGCCGCGCGTGAGGGGTGCCAAGGGGAGAAGCAACACTACACATATAACAGCATGTGGTACAACAGGGGCCACTAGCAAGACCAGACAATAACAACACCCCAAGACAAGGATATTCCACCATGGGGAAGCCCAAGGCAAGGCCCAGCACAATAGGAGCATGCAAGGGAGAAACACCAGCTACTCGGAGAGGATCCAGCACAGCCTCCCGTCCATCCAGCGCAGGACGGATGCGGCTGCTGATACAAGGCCGAGAAGGGCCTCCCGGGTGGACTCAGCGAGCCTCACCATCGCCCGGGGGCTGGGCCCAAGTGCTGCACCAGGGGCGCCTGGCAAAAAGCCGATCAAGGGGAGATAATGCAGCATCTCCGTTGCCGCTGCCGCCGCCGCCGACCACTCCGACGGTAGGATCCCCCCAACCTCCACACCTTGACTCGCCAAATACACGTGGAGCTGGTCCAGGACGTATGACAGCAACGTCAAACACGTCCCCATGTGCAGTACGCGCTGCTCAACGTGGGGAGGCGTCGCGGCTACAAGAGCAGCAACACGAGGAGCTGGTGGGACGTGTGAGAATGGCGGCGGCTGGGGAGTCGACGGCGGATGTTGCTGAGGCTGGGGTAGCGGAAACTGGTTTAGTGGAGGCAGGCGCTGCTGCGGAACTTGGGGTGATGACGTGGGCAGAGACTAACGTGGCCGACGGGGTCGGTTAAATCTCTGGCGCGCAGGGTGGCGGAATCCCCCTCACCGCTTGGGGCGACTGCAATTGCTGCGGTCGTAGCTGAGGTGGCAAGGCGACAGGAAGGACCCCCGAACGAAGAGTCTGCGCCGAGTGCCGTTGAGTCCGCCAAAACGCCTGCTGCTGCCGCGGCCGCAAGCACGCAGGAGCGCGGCCAGGCGGAGGGTGATAGTGCGGGTCCCGCGAGCGGCGCCGCTTCCGACTCTGCACGTGCGAAGAAGAAGAAGAAGCTGCGCGCCCAGCCAGCAGTACCCGAAGAGTGGTCATCTTCGGGGTGGGAGAGAAGGTCTGAAAGTAGTCAACTCCCTGCCGCTGACTGAGGCCACAAGCCACGTAACGCGCCTTGAAGACAAGCGGAGAACCTGGCGGCCGCTTCCCCCTAAAAATCCACATGCCACTGACGCACCTCCTGTGGAGAGAGGAGCTCCCGTCGAGACGAAGCACCCGGAGAACCTCCAGGCCCAGCACCCTCAGGCTCCGCACCCCCAGGCGTAGCACCCCCAGGCTCAGCACCCCCAGTCGTAGCACCCCCAGGCTCAGCACCCCCAGTCGTAGCACCCCCAGGCTCAGCACCCCCAGTCGTAGCACCCCCAGGCTCAGCACCCCCAGTCGTAGCACCCCCAGGCTCAGCACCCCCAGAGTCAGCACCCCTAGGCTCAGCACCCCCAGCAGCACCAGAGTCAACAGCTACCTCAACAGGCTCGACTACGTCTACCTGGGACACACCTGAGGGGGCTGGTCCATGAGGGGGAAGGGGGTCTACCGGGGGGGGACCTGGCACAAGGAAGAGCAGTGGCGGGGGGAGGGACGGAGTGCGGTAGGGGAACAGACGGTAGTAGGGAAACGACTCGTCAAGCGTGACGTCCTGGGAGGACAGAACACGGCGCGAGGTGGGGTGGTAGAACTGCCACCCTGGCGCGTCAGGGGGGAAGCCAAGGAAGATGCAGGGAGCAGCACGAGGGGACAGCTTGTCCGCAGACAAGTCGCGGACAAACGCCCGAGATCCCCAGACACGGAACGGAGACGCATCGCCAACATTCCCCGTCCACAGCAAAGCTGGGGAGGTCTCCGGCATGGAGACCCTGGGCTAAAGGTTGATCTGATGCGCCGCGTACCGAACCGCAAACGGCAACAGAAAATGGGGGGCAGCCGCATGCACCATGGACGTACGGGCGACGTCCATGACCATGCCAATGCGGCGCTCAGCAATCCCATTTTGCTGTGGAGAGTCCTTGAAGCGTGAAGGTCTGGCGGATGCCTCGTGCACGATAGTAGGCTCGCAGGAGGCCAGAGGAGAACTCTCCGCCTCTGTCGGAGTGCAGACGCAGAACAGGAAAGTCCGAGCCGAAACTCTTCCTGAGCTGGAGACGAGCTGCGCAGATCCAGTCGATCAACACCTCTGTGAGATCACCCTTGCTGCGCAAGGGGAAGACTGTGGTGTAACGCGAGTAGTCGTCAACCACCAGCAGGAAGTAGCGCTCGTGACCCTGTCCACGGACGCGGGCTAGGCCCCACACGTCCATGTGAAGCGTCTGCAGCGGGGCCTCTGTCGAAGGAAACTGGGAGAAGTGAGGGGCAGCACGCTGCCGACCCTCGATGCAGGGAACACAGGTAGGGGCAGGCCCCGGAGGAAGGGGAGGGAGGTACCGGGGGAGACCAGAGACCAGGACACGTGAGGCCATGCCTCGGAGACGAGGCAGGGAGGGGTGACCAAGGCGGTGGTGCCAGAGGAGAGTCTGGTGAGACAGGAGACGACACGAGCAGGGGGCAGACTCAGGACCAGACCTGGACGCTGCAGCAAACACTTGACCCGACGCAGCTACCTGACCAGACGCAGTGACCGGAGGAGACTCAGTTGTCAGTGTGTACAGGCTCGACCCCGGCCGACGGGTAAACGTGGCCAAGTGTCGGTCCGTCCGAGAACACGTGCAGTGGGTCACTCGCTGGCTTGCAGGAGTGAATTGGTGAATCCCAGCATCCTTTAGGTCAGCACCACTCACCAAGTTCGTAGAGAATGAGGGGAGGTAAAGACCAAACAGGGTGCCAGAGGGGGCCGCCGGACACGGGAGGACTGTGGAGAAGTGAGCAAGGACAGGACCCCCAGAAGGGTCTGCCAGAGAGACTGCAACTGGCCGACTAAGCGGCGTGAGTGTGGCGCAGTCTCAAAAGAAGGAGCGGGAAGCCCCCGAGTCAAGGGTGAAGGTGTGGGAGGCCGGCGCCGACGTGGTACCTGAGAGAGCAGACTCACCAGCACCTGAGGAAGCAGACTCACTGGCACCTAGAGCAGCAGCCTCACCAGCACCTAGAGCAGCAGCCTCACCAGTACCTAGAGCATCAGCCCCAATGCCCGGGTCGGGCGGAAAACACCGGTAACAGTCACCCTCATCACTAATAGTCACAGCATACATGGCAGCAAGAATAGCATCATAATCAAGATCAAAGATAGGAACCCCCGCCCTAGACAGCTCGCCCCAGCGAGGGATCTCAGTGGCCTCAGGAAACTGGTGACGCCAAGCGTCCGTCAGGCGGCCAAAGCAGCGCTAGGTTGAGTGCGCACCCCCACACTGCTCACCCGGGTGGTCGCCGGTGCGTAGGACGTAGATGCACGGACCAGTACCCCCATCCCGCTGACGTGCAGCGTACCACTCACGAAGCTGCTGAGGGGGAGGGATCTCACGAGTGCGCTGCTGCTACTGCTGGCGCGGACCACCACCGGAGCCGACCCTTTGCGCAACGCCACCCCGACCAGCTCCACCTCCTCCGCCGCTACCTCCTCCACCGCCGCCACCTCCGCTACCTCCGCTCCCACCGCCACCGCCGCTGCCGCCTCCGCCTCCACTGCCGCCACTGACGCCCCCACCCCCGCCACCACCCCCACCGCCACCCCCACCCCCTCCACCGCCTCCACCGCCGCCTCCACCGCCCCCGCTAGCTCCTCCAGCGCCCTTGCCCCCCTTGCCCTTGCCAGTGCGGCGTCTCCCGCTAGGGGCAGACGCCGCACCGACCGACTCAAGACCAACGAGGTTGGCCGCAGCAGCAGAGGCAACAGAGGGCAAGAGGGGAGAGGGGGAGCACCCCTCAAAGACAGGGGCACAAGGGTCACCACGAGAGGCTCCTACAGCGACTATGCTCTTCTCTGACGCTAGGAGGCGCTCCTGGAGGAGGTCAACGGTGAGGGTGGTGGGGCAAACAGAGAGAAAGTGGTCCCTAATCGGGCGAAGGGTGTCAGGGAGCCGGGTGACTATGTAGTAGAGGGTGATGTACATAGGGGGGGGTGGTTCTTGGCGCAAAACTCAGCAGGAAGGGCAGCGCGGTAGCGAATATCACTAGTGCAAAGGTGCGTAATGAGGTCAGCGACTATGGGAAAAGCGGCGAGGTCAGGGAAGAGGTACGGCAGGATGAGGCGGCTAAGTGCAGCAGTGGCAAGGGAAGAGTAGCGTGCAAATACAGCGTCATACAAGGTCTTAACACTCTTGTACTGACTAAAGTGTGCATCTCAGCGGTAGGCAAGTGGCGGCGCACAGCAACACGAGCAGCAGCATCGCGTGTGGCCCACTGTGAGCGAACAGTGGCGTGAGCATCAGCAGCAGGGGCAGGAGAGGCACCAGAAGTGAGGTCAAAGAGGGAGAGACCGTCTGCCCTATCGCACTGTAGGAAAAGCTGCAGGTTATCTACCCAGACATCAAAGTCAATGGCCCGACCCTCAGCGTCAAAAGTGAGGACATTAGGGGTAGCCATGACAGCAGTAGACTAGTAGCGCGAGCAGCAGGCTAAGGGCAGTGCAGTGGTGGAGGCGCTGCTCTTACCGGTCAGGTGAGAAGGACCGAGGCTCGCCGGCAGGAACAGGGCCGCGACGGCAGTGACCGGGTGTAGCGGACAGTGCGGCTCGGGCGGCTCGGCGGCAGCGGCGGCTCGGCGACAACGGCAGAAACGTCGGCTCGGCAGCTCGGCAGCTCGGCGGCAGCGGCGGCTCGGCGGCTCGGCAGCTCGGCGGCAACGGCGGCTCGGCGGCTCGGCGGCTCAGCGGCTCGGTGGCTCAGTGGCAACGGCGGCTCGGCGGCTCAGTGGCTCGGCAGCTCGGTGACAACGGCGGCTCGGCGGCGCCGGCGGCTCGGCGGCTCGGCTGCTTGGTGGTGACGGCGGGGCCGTGAAGGGCGGAAGGGCCGCTTAAGGTACAACGGCGGGGCCGGGTGGGGCGGCGACGAGGCCGCTGAGGGCGGCGGCGGGGCCACGAAGGGTGGCGACCGGGCCGCGGAGGTGTGGCGACGGGGCCGCGAAGGGCGGCGCCGGGGTCGCACGGGTGTGGCGACGGGGCCGCGAAGGGCGGCGGTGGGGTCGCGGGCGGCTGCGACGAAGCCGCAAGGGGCGGCGTCGGGGCCGCGAGGGTGGGGCCACGGGGTCGCGAGGGTAGGGCAACGGGGCCGCAAGGGCGGCGCGACGGGGCCGCGAGGGCGGCGCGACGGGGCCGCGAGGGCGGCGCGAAGGGGCTGCGAGGGCGGCGCGAAGGGGCCACGAGGGCGGCGCGACGGGGCCGCAAGGGCGGCGCGACGGGGCCGCGAGGGCGGCGCGACGGGGCCGCGAGGGCGGCGCGACGGGGCCGTGAGGGCGGCGCGACGAGGCCGGAAGAGGGGAGCGCGACTCGGGCAGGGGCTGAGTGCGCTCCGGGCAGGAAAAAAAAATCGGTGGGCCCTAGGAACAGTTCCCACGAGGGAACCTGCTCGATACCATGAGAAAACTAGAACGAGAATGATTGCATTGAGCAGCATGAGGAGTACAAGTACCAAACCCTGAAGTGTTGTACCCCATATAAGCTACCCCACTACAGCCTACACAGACTATAGTATATGAGTTTGACAGTGGCGCCCTCGGGGGCAAGCGCGCGGCCCCCTCCTGTCTCTCATCGAGGCGCCCTCGGGGGCTCGCGCGCGGCCCCCTCCCATCGCCCGTCGTGGCGCCCTCGGAGGCCCGCGCGCGCCCCTCACCCGTTTCCCGTCGAGGCGCCCTCGGGTGCTCGTGCGCGGCCCCCTTCCGCCGCCCGTCGTGGCGCCCTTGGGGGCCCGCGCGCAGCCCCCTCCCGTTGCCCGTTGAGGCGCCCTCGAGGGCTCACTCGCGGCCCCCTCCCCTCGCCTGTCGTGGCGCCCTCGGGGGCCCGCGTGCGGCCCCCTTCCGTTGCCAGTCGAGGCGCCCTCGGGGGCCCGCGCGCTGCCCCTTCTGCAGCTCGCAAACCGCCCCTGTAGCCTGCGAACTGCCCCTGCAGCCCACGCGAGCTGCCCCTGCAGCCTGCGTGCCGCCCCTGCAGCCCGCGAGCTGCCCCTGCCGCCTCCTGCCCTCGTGCAGGTGCGGGGTGGCGGGTCTGGGGGTGGCGGGTGTGTGCGTCGCCACTTGCTCCTCCTCCTCCTCCTCCTCCTCCTCCTCCTCCTCCTCCTCCTCCTCCTCCGCCCACTACTGTAGCTGCCGCTGAGGGGGGTGGATGTGTGGGAGGTTGAAGGGGGGGGTGGCTGCAGTGAAGCCAGCAGCTCCAGTCGCCCGTGAGCCCGTCGCTCCAGTCCCCCGTGAGCCCGTCGCTCCAATCGCCCGTGAACCCGTTGCTCCAGTCGCCCATGAGTCAGTTGCTCCTGCCGCTTGTCTAGCCGCGGAGCCAGTTACTCCAGTTGCCTGTGTGCCAGTTGCTCCAGTTGCCAGTGTGCCAGTTGCTCTAGTTGCCCGTGTGCCAGTTGCTCCAGTTGCGCCGTGTGCCAGCAGCTTCACCTGCCGCCCACCATCTCCTCTCCTCTCAGACTCTCCTCCTCCTCACTTGCCCTCTGTGATAGCCTCTAGGTTTGCTTATCATTGTGAATTATTGCTCTGCCTGCTTGTTGTGCTGATTACATCCCACTTTGACTATGGGGGTGTGTCAGAATGTTGTATTTGTCTAGCTTGCAGTGGGGTACTCTATAGCAAGTACAGCCCAAATTAGGGTTTCCTATATATACTCAACTGCCTGCTAGTGCAAACCCTCTTCACTGTTCTAACATTCTGCCTGCTATCTGTGACACAACTTCCCGACATATTCACAACCAAGCAGGCACGAACCGGACACGGAGGGGATCTGTGCCAGAGTGGAGGGATTGGTGAAAAAGGCCAACTTGGCGAAAGCAGCAGCGGCGTTACAGACCTCGCCACTAGCAGAGCCGTCGCCAATGGCACTGGAGGCACTGCGATCCAAACACCCACCAGCAGAGGTGGCAATTCCCGAAGGATTGGGTGGATACGGGGATACGGCGCTCGCCATCAGCTTGGACTCGTTTCGCGAGGTCTTGGCAAAGTGCCTGAACGGATTTGGAGCGGGCCCTGCCGTTAACGAATGGGGAAGTCCTCGTGCTGCTACACCAGTTAGTAAATAAGCTCCTCGGCAACTACCAAAGCGACGAGGTTAGAGATCTGCTCCTACCATCGCGGCTCATCATGCTGGAAAAAATAGACGGAGGCATTAGGCCAATTGCAATCGGGAAGGCCCTGCTTAGGCTCGCGGCGAAGGCAGCACTGCGAGAGTTATCGGGGGAAATCCGCTCCCATTTCCTACCAGTGCAGTACTTAGTGGCGGTCCCGGAGGGAGCTGAGTGCATTATCCACGTGGCCAGGACACTGTTAGATGAGGACCCCACTAAGACGATTCTGCAGTTAGATGGAGAAAACGCTAACGCGGTGAAGCGATCCCATTTCCCATCGATGCTATGGTGGACTAGCCTGATATCCCTTCTCCCCTTTGCACGTACGTTATACTGCACGCCATCTCTCCTGGTGCTGGACAAGGGCTTCAACGTCCAAGCAATCGAAAGAGCACGGGGCGTGAGACAAGGGGATCCGCCTGGCCCCATGCTCTTCGCGGTGGCAATTCAACCAGCCCTATTGGCGGCGGCCGTGGCAGTGCCGAACGTGACCGTAATGGCGTACGTGGACGACATCACGATCATCGGACGACCAGCATCGGCGAAAAGAGCCTTCAACATGATCAATGAGGGGCTGAGCGGACTGGGCCTATGTTGCAACCTGACCAAATCGTCGGCCTCGAGCCCCTCGGGCAGCACAAGCGACCTGCCCGAGGGACTGGCAGCAGTAGTGGACGGAGTCAAGGTCCTCAGGAGCCCTATTGGCATGACGGCTTACTGCATGCACTCACTAAGGGAGTCACTAAAGGGGATCGCACTACCACTGCGGGTCGTTAGCAAACTACATCCGCGACACGCGATGCTGCTGCTGTCCCAAAACATCTCTCGGAAAATCTCTTACCTACTACGCACGACGCCCGCAGACGTGCTGCCGCTCAGAGAATGGCGCGGATGGAGCAAGAAGCTGCTGTGGACAGCGCTGAGAGCGGCCCACATCAACGTCCCAAGCAAGGAGCTGGAGCAGAGTCTGGTGTGGAGGTAGGCAACGCTGCCCATCGCGCTGGGGGGCGTGGGACTGATAGACCCGCTGTCAGAAGCACCAGCGGCATACCTCGCGTCCCTGAAGGCGGCACATACACTGCTGCAGGGGATGCCGCCCACCCCAAATCACCAACTGCGGCAGGTGGCGGCGCTGGTTTCACCCCTGGGAGATGGAGTGGCAGGGAGGGGGGTCGCGGTGATACGGGACCTACAGGGACGACTGCCGGAGACAGCACGGGAGCTTCTGGGGGACCCGGGTGGAAATAGCGGAAGGGGCCGCCTGCAGGAGCGGTTATCAAAGCACACCAACCTACTCAGAGCAGCGGAACTGGTGGGGGACACTAGGATGGACAAACCTGGCGAGGACAACGGCCATGTGGTAAGGCTAATATGCCTACAAGGGGTGGGGGCAGGGGACTGGCTACACGCCATCCCCACACGGGTGGATTTGACCTTCTCACCAGGGCAGTTCGCGATAGTCCTGGGCTTCCGCCTGGGCTTGGTGCTGCCGGTCACGGACGTCTGCCCATGCCACAAGGAAAGGTCCAGGATTGGAGACCTCAGCTTGCCGAACCACCTGTTGCGGTGTGGGGAGGGGAAGGACCAAACGAACACGAACAACACCCTGGTGTACGCCGCACTGCGCATGGCCAGGGAGGCCAACTACCTTACCTTGCACGAGACCACGATCTACTCGCAACCAGTTAACCCCAAGCGAGCAGACCTTGCCTTCAAGGATAAGGAATCGGCAGAGACGTGGGTGACGGACGTGACGGTGATGGATCCCGTCCTACAGCGCCGCGACACAAGGGCAGTGAAACCACCGGGCTGGGTGGCGGAGGACGCGGTAAGGGGGAAGAGGGGATTGTATGAGGGGCGGCCTGATTATGTAGGGGTGCTAGGGTTGGCGGTGGAAACATATAGAAATTTCTGCGGCTACTAGGCACCCAGGCTGCTAAGAAACACTTTTGGCAGGGGAGGCTGACCACAGTGGCCTCCAAGCCTAGGGCCCATTACCGGCAACGCTGGTCGATGATGATGCAAAGGAGCCAGGCGAATACATTCCTGGCAAAATCAAACAAGGTTTAGGGTACGGGCCTTTCCGCAGGCCCCACCAGACCCTTGGGAGCCCCGCCTAGGGGATCCCCCTGCAACGTCTTATGAAAGTTCTGGACTGCCCTAGCGCATGGCGAATCCTCCAATTCTTACCGAGGTTGACCCTACGAGCAGAAATTGTGAAAGTCCCAGGAAACCGCTGGGCGGTGGTTGAGAAGCAACTTCAACAATTTCAAGAAGATGAATGGGAGCTCCTCTTCTTGGAAGCCTGCATCATCCCCCCAAACCCCCAACCAATCAGACACCAACCAGACCTTGAGGGGATGTGTGCCAGGGCGGAAGGTTTGGTACGGAAGGCGAACTTGGCGAAAGCGTTGTCAGCGCTACAGTCAACCCCGCTCGCCAAGCAATCACCCGCGACACTCGCGACACTTCGCGCCAAGCACCCGCTGGCGGGACAGGCGACACCCGGATGGGTTACCGGATACGAATCGTCGGAGCTGGCAATCACCACCGAAGAATTCCGTGTGGTTTTAGCTAAGTGCCCGAACGGGATCGGGGCTGGGTCGTAGGGAACCTGTTTTGAACACATGCGTGACCCCACACTAGTGAACGGGGAAGTCTTCACGCTCCTGCATATGAAGAACAGAACGAGGAATGAAAGAGAGAAGAGGGGGTTTCACTAGCACGCAGTTGAGTACATATAGCAAACGCTAACAGGGCTGTAGTCACTAGAGAGTACCCCACTGTAGACTAGAGAAATATAACGTTCTGACACACCCCCATAGTCAAAGTGGGGTATAATCAGCACAACAAGCGGTCACAAAATAGTTCACAGGTACAAGTAAAGCTAGAGGTAGTCGCAGAGGGCAAGTGAGGAGGAGTGACTGTGAGAGGAGAGGAGATGGGAGGTGACAGCTGAAGCTGCAGACACACGGGCAACAGGAGCGGCTGGCTCAGTGGCTACCGGAGATGGTAGCCCCCGGAATACATGAGTAACTGGCTCCGTGGCTACGCCGAGCAGCTGGAGCAACTGACCCACGGACGACTGGCGCGGCAGGCTCACTGGGCTACCGGAGATTGTAGCCTCCTGACTACTGGCGCTGCTGGCGACGCGACGGCTACCTCCGCCCAACCTCCCCCAACCGTCCCACCCCCCTTACACACACCCCTTGCTGCACCCTTAGCTCCACTCCCATGTCACCCCCCTAGCACCACTCTCTCGGCTCCCACACACCCACCCCCCTCAGCGGCAGCTGCAGCAGTGGGAGACGGAGGAGGAGGAGGAGCAGGGGAAGGTTCACATACGCTCGACCCCCACACTCGCCACCCGCGGGGATGAAACAGGCTCGCGGTAGATGGGGGGAGCGGGGGGGGGGGAGGGGGGGGGGGCAGGAAGGCCGCGCACGGGTCCCCCCGGGCGCCGCGTCGGGTGACGGGATGGCGGGGGTGGCGCACGCAGGTTCCCCAGGGCGCCGCGACGGGCGACGGGATGGCGCGCGGGGGGGGGGGGGGGGGGGGGGGGGGGGGGGGGGAGGAGCGGGGGTCCCCCATGGCGCCGCGACGGGCGACGGGATGGCAGGGGGGGGCACGCGCGGGTCCCCCAAGGCGCCGCAACGGGCGACAGGATGGCGGGGGGGGCGTGCGCAGTTCCCTCAGGGCGCCGCGACGGGCGACGGGATGGCAAGGGGGGCGTGCGCGGGTCCCCTAGGGCGCCGTGACGGTTAGGGTACCGCCGCACGCCTCAGGGCACGCGACGGGCAGGGCACTGTCGCGCGCCATGGGGCGCGTGACGGGCAGGACAGGGCGTCGCGCGGCCAGCAGGGCGGTGCGACGGGCAAGGCAGAGCCGCGATGGGCAGAAAATCGCCGCGTGCCCCGAGCATGCGGCGGGAAGAAAAAACGCCGCATGCCACGAGCGTGCGGCAAGCAGAAAACTTCGCGCGCCCAGGGCGCGTGACAGGCGGTACAGCAGCGGAAGCATTGGGTGTGCCCATCCACAGGATCAACTAGGGAGGGTCGACCTGCTCTGAAACCATGTGAAGAACAGAACTAGGAATGAAACAGAGAAGAGGGGGTTTCACTAGCAGGCAGTTGAGTACATATAGCAAACCCTAACAGGGTTGTACTCACTAGAGAGTACCCCACTACAGACTAGAGAAATATAACATTCTGACAGTGCACACAGTTATCAACTCGCTCCTGAGCACATACCTAAAAAGGCCGCTAAGAGACTTATTGCTACCGTCCAGGCTGATAGCCCTAGAGAAGCCGGGAGGAGGAGTTAGACCGATAGCAATAGGCGAGGCGATCGTTAGGTTAGCAGCAAAAGCAGCACTGCGGAAGCTTTCACCTGATATTCCTCACTTTTTCCTCCTAGTCCAGTTCGGGGTAGCGGTGGCCGGAGGAGCAGAGACCATAATACACACTACACGAGCCTTGCTAGCGGAAGACCCAACGCGGATCGCAATCCACCTGGACCTTGAGAATGCTTTCAACTCAGTAGAACGGGAGTGTTTCTTCATGTCGCTAAAATGGACGGCACTCGAGCAACTCCTTCCACTGGTTCGCACCCTTTACGTTGAGCCGGCGCGCCTCCTCTTGGACCCAGGCTTCGACGAACGATACATCGAGAGCGCTCGCGGGGTCCGGCAGGGAGACCCACCAGGGCCCATGCTTTTCGCGACGGCAATCCAGCCAACCCTACTGAAGGCAGCGGCCATGTGCCCCTCTGTGGTGGTGATGGCGTACGCTGAGGATATCACGATTAAAGGCGCTCCGGCACAAGTGATAAAGGGGGTGAACAT